GAGAATGTGAGAATAGTTATTGAAGCTGTGAGTGGTAAATGAGCTAGAGCAACATGTTTGTATAGCAGCTTCACAACCCATGTTCTGGCATGCCTGTAGCAGGAGGCCCAAACTGTTTCGGGAACATTGAGCTCAGCATCAGCAGGGAAAAATATAGGCCGAGCTGACTGAACTCATCAGCTCATAACTCATAACTCTCTTAGGTGCCAACCTTTCTTGGCTGACCAATTACTCGCAGGGTGATGAACTGAACAGAATATGCTGGCTTCACTTCCCTCAAACAGCAACAGCAACAGCAACAGCAACAGCAACAGCAACATGAGACTGGTGCTCAGTCTGCAGTGCACAAAATCGTTAAGGCTAGTTGCCATGTGAATCAAAGTGTGGTGCAACCATTTCCTTTTGAGTTTGTAGGAGAAGCTTGCAATTGGATGGGTTAATAATGTAGCTGTTACGGGACGGCAGGGAGGCAGACCCAAGTGCAAAGATGAAAACCTGTGAGAAAGGGTGTTAAATAAACTTACTGAGGTAATAGGATGTGAATTTGGCACATTGGGATTGAGGTGACATGAAGCCTGGCACAAACCGGTCCGCTGAGAAGCACAGGTGATAATGGGTAAAACACCTCAAGGAACAGGAAATAAAAAGGCGGGAAACCGGCAAACAAAGGAAATGCTAAAGGAGCTCAAACAAACACGTGTCTTTTTTTTTTTTTTGGGAGATATTTTGAGACAATTACTGTCTTTTGTTTTTTCCAGCCTTCTTTTCTTTTTGTTTTGTTTTTTGTTCATTTGATTGTTTTCTTTTCTTTTTTTTTCCTTTTCTTTTTGTTTAAATACCCACCTGGGCTAAGTGCCATATCGGTCACCCCTCTACAAAAGGTGTGACTGGTTGGGCCTAATCAGCCCGGGGGCTTCTGGGAATTGGAGCTCCCTGAAGTTATGGCACTTCGCTGCTGTCGCCCTCTGCTGGCGGCCAGCGGCATAGACTGGACCTTTACAGGAGCTTGTTCAAGTAGGACAGATTTTTAGAGTGCATATATTCAATAAAATGTACACATCCAAATGAGAGATGACTTTCATTGAATGATTAAAGTGGAAAAACTTTCAATTTGTGTCAATTTGTGTTACATTTGTGTGGAATATTCTTACCTGACAAGATGGTTGGCAAAGAAGTACCAGCAAATCTACAGTGATCTACTTTCCCGATGTTCATTTAGACACCGGTCTGGATATTTGTAATGAGGATTGCTTTTTTTGTTTAATGCAAAATAATTGAATTTTACAATCCATGGGCCTCGTTACAGAAAAAGAACTGTGTTTCTTATCTCAGAAGTAAAAAAAAGGAACAATCTCAAATTAGCATTGCAAAAGCAAGCTATTTTTTATTTTTATTAAATTATCTTTTATGTCCTACCCTAACTTTTTTTTAGGATGTTCTAATTATTTCTGTAACCCATTAAGATATTTATGGAAATATCCAATTGAGTACATATGCCAGAAGTCAATTTAATGTTACACATATTAGTTGTTTTTTCACTATTCACTATTTTCTGACACATTCGTTTTTTTCTGTATTCCAAGGAAAACATCACCTGGAGCAAAAAAAATGTTCTCAAAACAATACCCTTTTAACTGAAAGTTGCATTTTTTTAGTAAAAAATAAATAATTTGTTTATGAAGGAATGTCCTTTTTAAAACTCAAACATTTGAGGACTAAAATGTACTGTAGATTCAACAGATTTACACCATCTGGCTTTGAAATTCCATATTGTTTGGTTTTGTACATCACCTCCATTTTGAAATCCTACACTGGCTACCAGTCTGTTCCAGAATAGACTTTAAGGAGCTGTTATTGCTCTATAAACGTCTTAATGGTGCAGGAGCAGCGTATTTATCTGATCTGCTGCAGCGATATGAGCCGAGTGGAACTCTCAGATCATTAGGAACTGGTCAGTCAGTCCTGCCGAAGGTGAAGACTGAACATGGAGAAGCAGCGTTTGGCTACTATGCTGCTCTTAAATGGACCCAGTGGACAGAGAGCATTAGAAGAGCCCCGACACTGGACACTTTAAATCAGCCTGAAAACGTTCCTGTTTGAGCAGCTTTCAGTTCAGTTTAAATACTAGCCCTTGAAGTAACTAGGACTAAGATCTCTTATTTATTATTCTATGGTAAAGGGGTTCTGGACTTTTAGTAATGGTAATAAGAAAGCAACCAAAATGTTTTTGTCAATGCAACTGATTCTTCTCTCATTCCCAAGACATTTACCACAACACGCTGTAAAACTGTGTGAAAAAAAATATATGGAGTTGAAATTGCATACGCTTCCACAATGCATAGATTGTCCTAAGTTTTTAAAAACGTGTAATGTGTTATAGCATAGATCAAATGTAGCTCAGTCAATGTGTGCTTAAAAATTATTGAGACTGAATTGCTCTGTGTAACAATTCAGGGCTTGGCTGGTTGGTAGGATCCATAAGCAGTCATTATTGTGACAGACAATGGTACAAAAACACAGTCCGAAAGCAGAGTCGGGGCACAGCAGAGGATCAGAGGCCAAAATTACATACAAAAGATCCAAGACAGAAAAATCCAAGACAAAGTCCAAATTTTGAGTCAAAAAAAAAGGCTAGCTAAGATTTAAAAAAACCCACCAAGTCAAAACGTTACAGAGAAAAGGCCCAGGATTGCAGTGACACACTAACAATGCTTCGCGAAGAGTGGATTGAGAGTGTGAGTATTTATGGGGGAGTTGATGAACAGAGATTGAGAACAGGTGTAGGTGAGTGACGGTTAAAATTCAGGAGAGGACCTCTGGTGGCCAGTTTGGGAGTTGCACATGACACACTGTGGATCTGTATTAGTCCAGCTCCATGTTACGTCTAGTGCAGTTTCATCTACCCAATCCCAGTGTGATGTAAATATATAACCAGTTTTATAATTTACTACTTTATCTCACATGAACTGTTAATTCTGACTTTTACTCAGCAAGATGCATTTAGAACGCGGTCAGATTTACAATTATATTCCACATATTGTTTCTGACTTTCTCCTTGGAATTTAAGCTCCTGGAATAAAATCTACACACATGCACATTTGCAAGATTTTTTCAGCATACAGTAATAAGCCAACTGCGTTATTTAATGCCTCTAAGAATTTAAAATATGGTAAAATTCATTGTAGCAAAAAGATCAGGTGCTAGGAACAGTTTGAAGAACATGCATGAACATTCACTAACAGTTAGGATAGACATTAAGATTAAGAGACCCTTATTAGTCCCACAATGGGGAAATTTCACCTCCACATTTAACCCATCTGTGCAGTGAAACACCACATACACACTAGTGAGCACACACACACTACGGTGCAGTGAGCACACTTGCCCGGAGCAGTGGGCAGCCCTATCCGCAGCGCCTGGGGAGCAGTTTGGGGTTAGGTGCCTTGCTCAAGGGCACCTCAGTCACGAACTGTCGGCTCTGCGGATCGAACCGGTGACCATCTGGTCACAGGGCCGGTTCCCTAACCTCCAGCTCATGACGTGTTTTTTGAAATTGTTTTGATGTAAACTTTTCTGCCAACATAGCCTATGACTGCATTTTGTTGTGTCAGTGATGAATCGTGCTGCTCATCGGCCTTTATTCATCAAAGCTGTGTAAAAAAACATAGTTTTGACCACTTTTAATGACAAACTTCTCTGCCTCTGATTAGTGGAACTTCAATACGACGTGGGAACAAGTGGAGATTTGAGCTCAAGTGAATCAGCTTAAGTGCGTGAAATCCAGTAGCAGCCTATCAGCGCCTCATTTACATATCATTTAAATGAAGCATGCCCTAAGTTTGAGTTTGAGGTCCAACAGTGAGTGCATTACTCCACCTACTGAGCAAACTTTACAGTGTTATGATTATGATGACTGGAAAGAATAAAGTGTCAAACAAACAAAACATCCTCGTTTTAAAAAAGGTAGAATGATGTTTTTGCGTAGTTATTTTCCCAACAAAGCAGATTTAAATGCTGTATTATCGCAGTGATTTTGTGATCATTTGCGACCTAAACATCAAGCTGGACCTTCTTTTTGAGCCTGTGCATATGATGGTAATATGTAAATACATCTGAAAAACTCCTGTGAAATCTATCCTGACACCTCTGACTTTTAATTGGTTATTTCAGGTTTTACAGGGCGACTCACAGCAGGGCACACTGACCATATTTTAGCCTGTTTATATTCTCCTCACTCAGTAATGAGACGGCTTTCACTTTTAACCAAGAAAATCTTACATAGTGCTGTTTTAATAACTGAATTATGTTAGAAATCTGGAAAAATTGGTGGAATTCCGTTTAAAGCTATTCTGTATTTTTAAAATATTTGTTTTAGAATGAAATAAATAGATGTGGCCTTTTGCCTTTGAATAACCTTTTTGATTTGCTTTTGTGAATGAATCTGTGTAACACACTGTACCTGATGAATCACTGTATAATATTGATAGGATAAAGCGACTGAGTGAGATTATATTAGATAATTAAACATTGCATAAAAGAACACTTAGGAACTGTAAATAGGTATTTTAGATAAAAGCTCATAATTTAGTCATGCAATGAAATTAAATGCTGTGTAATACATCAAATTCAGTATCAGAGCTTTACAGTAAAAAGGGATAACATTCTACTGTACAGTACATGGACCCTGGAATATACCGACCAACTCTTCTTACTAAGAAGACTAATAATACAGATGGATGATGAATCAGTCAATAAGCAGGAATTATGCAATGCTGAATTTTATTTGAAATCAATCACAGGCCCTTGTACACACAGATTACAGTGATATAAAGTAATTGGATTTTTGCTTTTAGATCAAACATAGAAACTGAAACACATGATCATCTTAATCTTTAATATCTGGGGCTCTTAAAAGCTGAAGAGTTGATTATTATATATGATTTCTGATACATGCAGAAGGGTACTGGAAGGAACAGGTCAGGTCAGTTTACCCTTTTGTTTTACCCTAAAACAAGAAAAAAAAGTCCATTAGATCAAATCTGAGTGTCAAACTGACAGTAATGTTGTGCTACACTGGGTTTGTTTACACCTCATACTAACATGTGTTTTTGGTGATTGGATCTCGTTTAGATTTCACTTGACCACATGAGAATCCGTCCCCAGTCACCATCCCAGTGATTCTAAAACACAGTTTTGAATTTCTAATATAAATTAAAAGCCCTGTGAGAAGCCGACTCACTTTGGTGATGAAATTCATGATGAAGACTGTAATGATAGAACTATATGGATATACAGTCATATGCACAAGTTTGACAACCCCCTGTCTAAGTTAAACTAACTAACACATTCTCTATAGGGAACACACTTAAATATGGTATTTCCCACTAATTTTAGTGTGCCATTTCTATTTTTTACTAAATTTAAAATATTGAAAAAAATAAAAATATAAAAATACAAAAAGTGCTACAAATTGCACACAATACACTTTTTTGTTGTTTTGTTGTTTTTGTTCCCCAATATGATAATTCAATAAATAAGCAGTAATTGTGTATTAAAATGTGAAGAAGTGTGCTCTCTGTAGAGGATGTGTAAACTTATTTACACACTTGACTTCAATGGTTAGAACCTGAAGCATGGCTAGGCAAATTTGTGACCAAATATTAGCCAAATGCATTTAAAAATTCTGTTAGCATGTCAAATAATAGCAAATCTGAGTAGCCCAGGGTCTTCTGAAAATAATAACATATGGCATGTGTGAATGTAAATACTTTATAACTGTAACTGTAATTGACCAAAATACCAAAACATTGTTCATAGTGTGGATGCTAAAGTGTCTTGACACATCCTTGACAGCCTTAAAGGACTAGCAAAAAACTTTGTGACTGTTGACTGATCACACTTAGTCTATCATTGGGTTATTCTGTCTTGTCATTAACGCTTGTTGGATCCAATTACACAGTATGTCTGAAACCTTTGGTCTGTGTAGCTGAACTAAAAAGTTGCTGTGTCGTTTTCAGCAGCCGTGGTCTGCAAACTGTTTTACTTTCATGCATAAAGTCATGAAAGGTAAGATATAAATGGTGCATAAACATGTTTCATGTCTGTCATGGCTGTATGATTTAGCTTAGGATGCTCAATTGGCAGTTTATATTAAGTCTGCTGTTGCTTTTCCTCGTCTTTGTTGTTACATCTCAACTGTCCAATGAAGCATGTTTGGTAACTGTGCTGTCCGGCAACTTGCTATTGTCTTTATGCAGCAAGAGCAGGACAACACAGTTCCACCTGGACAAAATGGATGGATTGTTTGTTCATATTATGATGATCTTCTCGATCATCATAATATTAACAAACAATGCAACACAAGATGCATTGTTTAGATTTTAATGTCTATATTTATTTATCTACATTTTAACACAATTTCAATGTTATTTTGTAACTAAAAAGTACTACCCAAATGACTGGGCAATCTGAATTAGAAAATAATATATTTTAATGTTGTGTTTCACTCTGTTCTCCTCCTGCATGGCCTGCTGTTAGGGTCAAATAAACAAATACAATATAAACTATACATCATAAACATAGAGTAAACTATGTCTCTCTCTGAAAACAACACAGTCAAATCACACATACAACATATAACACATTCTGCATTGACTGCACCTCTTACTGTGCTACTTTACTAATCTACTGAACTAAAACCATTTCACTGGAACTCACTACGAGAAGCAGAGAACATTAAATGTTACACAAGTTCTAACTTTCATCATTTGAGTCATTTTATACAAGCTTGTGTCACCTCACTGCACAAACACCACTGTAGTAACTAGCTAAAGAGGGAGGACTCAGCCCCTAATTCAGTAAAGAGGAGTGTGACCTCTAATTCAGGACTGCACTGCTATTCTTTCACACCCAGTCAATGACACCTGATCATCTCTAAAGGTCTGGATCAATGTTTACAGATAAAAGAAAATGCACGATGTCTGAATAAAAGGCAGTCAGGTACGCTGTCATAATAAAAGAATCTCAATAACAACTTTCTGTGACATGCTATACAATGCAGAAATGAAGGAAACGCACCTTTCCTGGTCTGTCTGGCACAGACAAAAGATTGTTTCACAGTGCAAACATGATCATCCCAGCCTCCTACAAGAACAGTGCAAAGATTTCCAAGAAATATGAACTAATAATTAAAAAATAATATTCTAATGAAATAAAACAATGATTATAAAAGCATAGAGGTGGAAAAGATGGTAATGGAAGTGTAACGCTATAATAAGTAAAATAAACTTTTTAGAAATTTTGAGAAGACCTGAAATCTCGTTACCATTGTAGTTGGTCTGCAGACAGCGTCCAGAGCCATTCGGTTCACCTTTGGTCCAGGGAGAGAAGTTAAAAGCAGATCCATCAGACCAAACCCAGCGATTGAGAACCTAAAGAACAACAATCTGAAATGAGTGTTGGCTGTTCCAGAGAGAAGAGAGTGAGCAGGAAGAACACTGTGACAGATTAAGCGCTAACTTAAACACACTTACATTCTGACTGCCTCCGAGCCACGTGGGACGATCTTGACCAGTGTGACGCTTAATCAGGCTCTTAATGAAATTGTCTTCATTCTTATCATGCACTGAAGCCAGAAATGCACCAGACTGCTTACAGGTTCTCTACAGGGAGAATTTATAGAAAGACAAAATTTCACCAAGATGGACATTTACTTTATTCTTTCTTTATACCTGTTCAGGCGTCTCTTTTTTTAAATATTGGAGTTTCTACTCCAAAACTTGCTCTTCAGTATTTCATACTAGACAAAATAATAAAGTACTACTAAACAACTAGACTTTATAACATTAAATTCTTAAAACTAAAGCGTTATACTGCTTTAAAAGTAAACATTAAAACATAAAATCAACTCAAACTGGTTTACTGATGAAGGCTTTTAATTTAAAAGAGTCCATCTTAAGGACATTTTGCACAAAATATGGTGGTTTAGACTGAACCCCTGTAGGAACAGCATTGAATAAACATACCTCAGCCTCCGGCCATGTAAGTTTGATGGCAAAGAATTTGAACTGGCGTGATCCATATGGTATCCATACAGGAATCTTGGAAACATGCTTTATTTTTGGTGCAGTGTCTGCATCAACAACAGATTTATATGTGTAAAAAAATTATATATCCAAAAAAATGCCAAATTAGGCCAAAAACCACAAACTCTACACTTTTACTTTATATTGGAATGTCTGATGTTGTGTTTCAAACCTACAGAGACATTCAACGATTAATACAATCCTTGGACATTAACATGGCACTTTTTATTAAAGGCTTCTAAATTAGTAGATCGTTTTCATGGTGGAAGTGTATTTCAAACTCAAACTGAAAATGCATCCAGAACAAAAAGATCATTTGTCTCTGAGAAAACACAAACACTGTAGACACTGTCCAAATGGCAGCTGGATGTGTGCAAATGATTTGTGAAATATTCAAAAAAATTCCCCCAGAATATCAAAAGAATACTAAAAAAGAAAAAAGTGAACATGCAGTGGAAACTGGCTATACAAACAACATCCTAAAGCTTATAAAGAAATTAGGGAAGTCTGGCATTACGTCTAACAGCATCATCAGCACCTGAAATCAATGACCAAATATGTAAGACCATATATTCTTCACATCATGAACTACATAGGCAAAAGCAATTATTGAGGTCAGGTATTTCAGCCATGAGCATTGGTAACAGGTGTATAAAATCAAGCACATAGCCATGCAGTCTCCATAGACAAATGTTGGCAGTGGAATGGGCTATAGTAAAGAGCTCATTGACTTTCAATGTGGCACTACCACAGGAAGGCACCTTTGCTTAGATCAGTTCTTGAAATGTCTGACCTGCTAGATCTGCCATAGTCAACTGTAGGTATTAATGTCATGAACTCGACGCATTTCAGAGCAACCACTCCTCAGCCATGAAGCAGTAGACCACGCAAACTTACAAAGTGAGGCTGCTGATGCAAGTAACATCGCTTATCCTCTGTGTAATCGCTCACTACAGAGTTCTAAACTGCCTCTGGGTTAACATCAGCACAAGAACTGTTCATTGAGAGCTTTGTGAAATGGATTCCTATGGCTGAGCAGCTGAACGTGTTCTCTGGAGTGGTGAATCAGCTTCTCTATCTGTCAGTCTGATGATGAATCTGGGTTTGGTGGATGCCAGGAGAACTTTACCTACCGAAATGCAGAGTGCCAACAGTAAAGTTCCAGTGAAGGGTGATGTTGATGCTACAGCACAAAGACATTTTACACAGTTATCTGCTTCCAGCTTTGTGTCAGCAGTTTGGGGAAGAGCCTTTCCTGTTCCAGCATGACTGAGCCCCTGTGTACAAAGCAGCTCCACAAAGTATGGTTTAATGAGTTTGGTGTGGAGGAACTCCAGTGGCCCGCACAGAGCCCTGACCTCAACCCCACTAAACACCTTTGGGATGAACTGGAACTTCTATTCTGAGCCAGGTCTTCATGTCCAGCATCAGTGCCTGATCTTGTTTTGATTGAGTGGGCACAAATTCCCACAGACACACTCCAGAATCTTCTGAAATTTCTTCCCAGAAGAGTGGAGGCTGTTATAGCTGCAAAGTGGACTGCAACTCCCCAATAATGGTTGTGATCTTAGAATGGGATGTCCTACACACTCATGTTGGTGTGATGGTCAGATGTGGTTGAGACGAACTATGGTAAGTTACTATTTTAACCACACAGTAAGTTAATTTAATTAAATAGATGAAGTGAGCAAACCCACCACAAGACCAGAGCAAACAGCAGCAGGACAAAAAAATCATTTTAATTTCTGTTATGTATACATAAAAAAAATGAAACTGTTGCCATTAAACTGTTTGGAATAAACCACATGGTTACGTCCTTCTGAAATGGCCGTGTTGCTTTATAGGATGCAGTATATAAACAAAGAACATGGAACCCAAACCGCGTACTGGAAAACTTTGAGCAGTACCTCATCCAGGTATCTTTGGAGTACTGAGGAAATTCATGTTGGTCTCATACTGCATACTACATTCTTTTGGGCACAATCAGTACAGGAGCAGTATGTAGTAGACCATTTCCATAAAAAGCCAAATAGTTTTAGGAAGTGAGACTGCATCCCTGTCCCTGATGGCCACATGGTGAGCAGTTAGAACTCATTTTTTTGAAGTAAATGTTTCCCAAAGTCTGAAAATCAGTGTGGAACATTAAGAATCGTCATATTTTCTGTAGTTGAGCCCTTTTTAGTGTTCAGAGCTGTGTTTGCTGGTCATGTACTGGCTGTGTCTTTGAGATCAAAATGAGCTGAAACAGTCACTACTGAAACATTTGGTAAAGTTTGGGTAGAGTTATCATGACAAAAAGGAGTTTTAAAACAATGAACATGATAGTGTCACTCAAAGATAAAGGCTTTTAATCTGAAGTCCAAAATCAGTTAAAAGACCAAAATGACTTTAGTTCTGACTTTGAACCAGTTCAGTAGAATCACCCACTGATGTTCATCTTAAAAAGTGGGAAAATATACACAATACACAACGTTGTTCCTGCATTTTTTTACTGTTAGAAAAAGCTGACTTTGTCAATTTTAGTGTCGTAGTGATCTTTTGATTTAAAATAAAATTTTGATGAATAACAAAAATAACTATTTCACACCAGTGAAATCAGTCTCCTTCATATGAACTTTCAGAATCACACACACTATTTTATGCAGTCCTTAATCCGTAATGATGTTACTGCATATCAGTGAAATGGATGTGTTTTCTCACCAGCTAGCTGGACACTGAGGAGACACATGACCCCAAGGAGCAAGGAGAAGCACTGGATCGCCATGACGACAGAGACTGCAGAGAAATTTCAGTCAGACAAAGTAGATCAGCCACAGAGTTTAATATATCAGAGATTCTACGTGCAAAATGTACACAAACACAGACAGAAACAGTTTAACTCATTAAGCCTCTGATAAATTGACCTTTTTGTCAGAGTGTTTGATGCTGTTGATGTTCAGTTTCATTTTATGCAGTAGAAGCTGGTTAGAGAAAGAAGGTTTGCAACACTCTACTTTTTAATCTCCAAACAGTCTCCTGTGAAATTCTGAGCAGTCTTCTGAAATGAAAGCTAATGTTATAGTTTGTCAAAAGTGTGGCAAATAAACAATAAACAATACTCACAAGAATTTCTAGGCAAATTTCACGTGTTTAACATGTTTTTAGAGAGTAGCAGAGATGATGGTGCTGGATATTATTGTGTAACGGGATGCGTCCACTTGTACTTTTGCTCACTGCTGGTGGGTGTTTTTATGTCATTATAGAAATAAAGGAACCATACGTATTTCTTCACCAGCACACTCCATTTAATATAATGAAGAACTGATTAGCTAAGCAAGTGTTGGATCATAACGACAAATAATACTGGACTGCCGTGAGGAGAGGTTTAAAAATGGTTAAATGAACATGCTGACATCTATAAAACATTTCATATTACATTAATATTATTTGTATTTATTCTACTATTAGCATTTTTTGAGGAAATCATCACTTAGATCCCTTAATTGTAATATTTTCAATTGCCTAAAACCTGTATATATAAACACTGTTCTGTGTATATTAAGTCAAAGAGTCAACATACTGAACATAATTACCAGTGAACAAGCTGTTGTTCTTCTTGTCCTCTGGTGGATGATCTTGTGGATGGGTTCTTCTGCTGAGGTGGTGGAGAACTCTGTGGAGATCTTCCCAAGCAGACAGTGATGCTGGACTGCTGGATCACCTATTTATACAGGAGGAGATGAAGTGGAGAGATTGTATGAGAGACTCTGGTCCAATCAGCAGAGCTGTAAGAGGGAGTGAACTGAGGTGTGTGTTTTAGAGACTGTCCTCCAACAATCTTCCCACAGCGCCCACTAGTGGATTCACTAGTCTACTAGTCGACTATGCATCTCCTGGTATGTGTTCAGTCAGTAATTTAGATGTTTCACCAGGTTAATGTAAATTTTGCAATCTTAATCCAGATTTTCTCACTATTAAAGCAGCTGATCTGACTCTTTACTGTCATAACTTAATATAGAGATCAGACACAGCATATTTACACTTAATCAAATGTAACTTTTGCAGCCAGGATCTGCAAGAAAGTGAAGAGCAGAACAGAAAAGAGGCATTAATAACAACACACTGTTTGATTATAAAGTAATAATATTAGTATTAAACATGCGCTGCTATGTTCCTATTTATATTCCCAAATATTTTAAATAATGAAAATAGAATTAATGCCATCATATGTGTATGTTGTTCAGTCCTGAAGTATCTTAATTGGCTTCTCATGAAGCTGCTTGAGAGATCATGAAGAGTGTCTTACGGCTCCATCAAGACAACAACAAAAATCTAAAATAAGACTTCAAGGACATCAATATTTCATGGATTTAAGGCATTATAGCTGGATTTAAGTAGCACTGCTTTGATCTGGTGTCATGATCATCTAAAATAAGCAAAAACTAGCATAGGAATCTTGTTTTAAGCATTTTTTTAAAACTCATTTGGTATAAAATGACTTAACATGAGAATGTGTGAACTGTTTTTAAGCTGAACATTAAAGACTTGTTGGTTTCAAATAAACAAAAGTATATTTAAGATGGTATGAAATCAACACTGTAACACTTAAAATAAGATCAGTTCCTGAAAGTACAGTAGCTAATAATTCAACATCTGAACATCTTAACACAAGTGCAAGTGAGTGATTATTCAACACGGGATATTTATAAACAAAAACTGTTAATATACCAAATGTATGTTCCTTTCCGGTATTATGGTCTACATTTTAAAGATGACCTCTGCAGGGAGGCGCCAAAGATCCAAACTAAATCTGCTTCTGAAACATTGTTTATGTAAACAAAACATACAGACGTCTGATGTTTGCCTTTAACTTATAAAATTCCAAAATGACTGTACACAAGTTGAAGTAGTGTTGCATCTTCCTCTTTCATAGAGGAGCTTCAATAGAGTTCAGTTCTCTAACAAGAGTTCTCTTATTTCAGTTGAAAAAGTCTGAGTAATGAGCTCATTTGTCTAAATAAGATACTGTAATTCTTATACTGTAATTTTGGGAATTTGTGTCCATTCATCCAGAAGAGCATTTGTGAGGTCAGACACTGATGTTGGACGAGAGAGCCTGGCTCACAATCTCCATTCTAGTTCATTACAAAGGTGTTTGATGGGATAATGGTCAAGGCTCTGTGAGGGCCAGTCAAGTTCTCCCACACCAAACTCACCCAGTCATGTCTTTATGGAGCTGCTTTGTGCAGTGGGGCTCAGTCATGCTGCTCTTCCCCAAACTGTTCCCACAAAGTTGGAAGCTACAATTGTCCAAAATGTCTTGGTGCTGAAGCATTAAGATTTCCCTTCACTGGAACTAAGGGTTCTAGATCAACCCCTGAAAAACAGCTCCATAGCATCATCCTCCTCCTCCACCAAACTTTACAGCTGGCACAGTGCTGTCAGGCAGGTAACGTTCTCCTAACATTAAGGTAACGACTGGCAGATAGAGAAGGATCCACAGAATATATTTCCACTGCTCCAGAGTTCAGTGGCGGCACTTTACTCCACTCCATCCGATGCTTGCTGTTGTGCTTGGTGATGTAAGGCTTGCATCCAGCTGTTCATCCATGGAAACCCTGCCATGAAGCTCCGGGTGCAGTTTTTGCACTGATGTTAAAGCCAGAGGAGGTTTGAACTCTGCAGTTATTGATCAGCAGAGTGTTGGCGACTGTTAGGCACTATGATCCTCAGCACTTGGTGACCCGATCTGTAACTTTATATGGTCTGACACTTCGTGGCTGAGTTGCTGTGGTTTTCACTTTTCTATAATACCAGTCATAGCTGGTCA